GCTACGAGGACAAGCTGAAGAACTCCACGGGCACACTGCAGGATACGGTGGAGGCCCTGGAGAACAACTACAAGCAGCAGCTGAACGAGCGCAAGGAGCTCATCCGCGACCTGATGAAGGAGATGCAGGACAAGAAGGCCGAGTTCATTGAGTACTGCCGCGAGGTGGAGCTGGAGAACGATCGCAACATGGTCTCCACGCAAACGGAGTACGAAAACAAGTTGACCACTGAGCGAAACGAAACCCAAATGTGGCGGGGCAAGGCGGGAGTCTTGCAGAAGAAGTTCGAGTCGCAGAGCCGAGAGATTGACAATCTCCTAGAGGAAGTTGAGATCCTAAAGGAGGAGCACCACAAGTCGCAGCGCAACATCCAGAAACAGATGCGCAACATCGAGGATCTGCAGAAGGACATTGCTGATCGCGACTACGCCATCAACGGCAAGGAAAAACGCATCCAGGACCTGCTGCACAAGAACCAGGAGCTGGATAAGTACAAGCAGGTGCTGGGCCACAAGATCGCCGAGCTCAAGGCGCAGATTGAGCCGCGCGAGTTTCAGATCAACGACAAACGCAAGCACATTATCGAAATGGAGGCGGAGCTGGAGGGCCTCAACCAGAACAACGTGCAGCTGGAGCTTCAGTTAAAGGAGATGCGGGATAAGTATCTCAGTAATGTGGCCGAACTTCGGACGGAGCGACATCGGGCGAAGGCTTCCCGGGAGTGTCTGCACGCCATCTGCTCGGACATTTACTATGTGGCCGGGGAGATCAACTCGGCCGAGGGCCTCAAGAAGGCGGTGAAGGAACTGTTTCGCAAACACGCCTCCGACGACGAGCTCAAGCGATTTGTCACTCTGGACGCGGAGGTCAGAGACGAGTTTATGCGGCAGCGCAAGCAGATCGAGAATGTCCTGGACCGATACAAGTCGGTGGCCGAGGACAAATCCGTGCAGAAGAAGTACGACAAGCTGTTCAAGGAGAACGTGATCCTGATTGAGGAGATCGAGAAGCTGAACGAGACCAACAAGATGCTGCGCAGCAAGGTCAAGGAGGACCTGCGTCGATCAACAAAGTCAATCTACAAGTAGACAGGGCTGTCTATGTGTTCTGTAGTCAAGCATAATCTATTAAAATATGTATTTCACATTGGACTTATCGAGAAATTTAGTTGAACGACAATATATACATACAAAATGGCATTGGCTTCGATAGGTTACTTTAGGTTCTATGCCTCCACCAGGACTTTCTTGGATTTGCTGCTGGTTGCTTTGGTCTTTTCCGGCTCCTCGACGGACTCGCCCTCGGCGGGAGTCGGCAGATCTTCGGTGGGCACCTCCGGCAGCTGTACACCCTTCTGCTGCTCTTCCTCCGCCTCCAGGGCATCCAGTTCGGCCAGGACGTCCTCCTCGTCCTGCGTTGTCAGCACATCCGTCAGTATGGCGTCTATTTCCTGCTGCTTTTCAATGCCCTCTCGCGTTTCGTCCATGATTCGTTCAACTTCGTCGATGTCCAGCATTTCGTGCACCTTCTTCAGGGCAGCATTGCCCGCCTTGAGGCCGTCCAGCACCTTCATCTCCACCTGGGCGAACTCAATGTCCGCGGCCAACTTCTCCAGGTTCTCCAGCTGCTTGTCGGCATTGGTCAGCAGACTCTCCTGGTACTTTTTCTTGCGCAGCAGCAGTTTGGCCCGGCTGAAATGAAAGCAATCGGTTTAGATGACCACAGACATGAAGGCAGGGGCTGCAACACATACTCCTTGCGACCCTGCTGTAGGCACTTCCTGGCCAGCAGTCGATCATTCTCCAACTGCGTTTCAATGCGTTTTTGGTACTGCTTGAGGCGATCCCTTTGTTGCTTCAATTGCTGAAATGGGCAAATGGTTAAGGGTTTGGTCGGACTTCCGGGCAACTCAGTGACCCCCCACATACCAGCACCGCCTTGTCCTGGTCGGTGATCCGACTAGGAGCCGTCTTTTTGCTCGTTTTTCCAAACAAAGCTCCCATGACTAACTACGTGGCAGTGCAGCCAACTTAGCTACTTAGTAACTAGGGAGTGAGAATTTTGAGGGAATCTGGAGTCGAAACACTTTACACAGCAATAAAAAACACGTACAAATAAACATAAAGTGCTTATATGGAAAAAAATAACTTGCAATATCTAAGCTCTTCACGGAAACATTTGGTAGATATTGGCTAAACTAGCTATACATTTATATTTCGAAAAACAAACGTTGGCTGCATTGCAGAGTGACCGTTGCTTGAGTCCTGAAATAAGTACCGCGCTCTAATTAAATACCAAGAAATAATACCATACATATACCGCACATTAATAGTTTTCGGCAGAGACACAAATCTAGCGGAATTTTCAAAACAATTTTCATATATTTTAAGTTTAAATCAAATATTTCGCACTTTTTCCAAATTGGTAGACAATTTAAAAACTATTTAAATTATTACATTACACACCTGTTTTAAGAAATGCGTTCTCAAACTAAATATTTGGTTACTCCCATACCCTCAGCATCAAATACAGAATTTCGAAAACCCGATTTCTGGAATCCGTGTCACTTGGTTCTACGGAAAGTTTTTAATACATATTGCACCCACTTACAGAACAAAACCACTCGTTTGTACAGTTAATTATTCCGTTTTATTCGCACTTGCGTGCAAACCATTTTCAAATTGTAAAAAATAGCTCTAATCCAAATTGAAAACCAGAGTAGTTTAACGGTACGACTTCTGGTAGCGAGCACGGGCACCTGGACCGCCGAACTTCTTGGGCTCGCAGCGACGAGGATCGCCGACCAGCAGGGTTCTGTCGTACTGCACCAGAATGTCCTTGATCTCCTTCTTGGAGGCCTCATCGACGTCTGCAAGAAAGAATGATCAAGGAATTAGCAACCCGCAATTTAGAAACAGTTCATAGAATACATTCTATGAATTAGTTACAACTAATGTGAAACAAAAGTTTGGCTGGAAGTGTCGATGAAGCCTCAAATAGCAATGGTCAAATCTGCCAAAACTCTCTTTGATTGCGACATGCACTTAATCTCCCTTGCTCGAGTCTTTTCCTGGAAACGGCTATAAGTTCCAACAAAAATCTGGGAGAAGGTGCTAGAAATTCTAAAAATGGTATAAATGTGCCTGAAGCATCACACAATTTGCACAGCAAAATTGCAACTTGGTTGGTATATGCTCATAAATTCATCTGCCTTTCAATAATGATTCGGAGGAAAAGGGATAACAATTCCAACAAAAATCTGGAAAAAGGGGACTGCATTTCCTAGTGTTCCTGAAGCATCACCCAATTTGCACAATAACCGTGCAGCTTGGTTGGTATATGCTCATAATGAAGTTTAATCTGCCTTTCAATAATGATTCGGAGGAAAAGGGATAACAATTCCAACAAAAATCTGGAAAAAGGGTCTTAAATTCCTAATGTTCCTGAAGCATCACCCAATCAACACATCTATGGTGAAGCTTGGTTGGTATATGCTCATAATGAAGTTTAATCTGCCTTTCAATAATGATTCGAAGGAAAAGGGGTAACAATTCCAACAAAAATCTGGAAAAAGGCGTTGTGCTTCTGGTTCCGACTCTGAGCTTTACTTACATTTCTGGTAGAAGGCAACGAGAGCCTTGGAGATGGCCTGGCGGATGGCGTAGATTTGGGCTACATGACCACCACCGCTGACGCGCACGCGGATGTCCACGCCGGCGAATTTCTCCTGTAAAATATAGATATGTGTCCGGATTAATAGGGGCTCACAAGAGGTGTGCATTCGCACTGGTGTTTAGTTCGATCAGAATTGAATATTAATCTCATTTGGCTTCGAATTCGGGATAAAGGTTATCATCATATTAATGCTACAAGCCAGGCTTCCGTTTCTATTTTCACTGCACTAAAAAGGTACTTTGATTGCAGTTAACACATTTCAATGTGTACTGCTCTTTAAGTGTACACATATCTCATTTGCCCTATTTTTTGGCAGCAAAACACATTGCTGTACCAGCGCTTTTGAAGCGGAAGCCGTGGCTTTCTGGGCTGCTCCTTCGGCGTACTCACCTTGCCGAGCAACAGAAGGGGCTCCTGCAGTTTGTATTGCAGGACCTTGGGTTCAATCTGCTCCAGAGGACGACCGTTCACCTTCAGGAGGCCGTTGCCACGCTTGCAGTAAGCGACGGCGGTGGCGGTTTTCTGCAATAATAAAGATACCGGTTGTCACTAAACGTTCCACGCTGAATACAGTTAAAATCCAATTCCCAGGCTTAAATCCTCGCGCACACACACAAACATAACCTCTGCGATGAGGCGGCGGCATCAGCGAATTTTTGCCGCCGTCGATTGACGCGAGTTTTTTGTCTGCACGTGTCGCACGATTATTTTACTGGATTTGGGCGGCTCAATTTACACACACCTTGCGTCCGAAGACCTGGACTGCCTGCACGGGTTCTCTGCGCTGCAAAAAACAAATATTTGCAACATTTTAGGCATTAATAAGACACGAATTCGATGTTTTTTCACAGGCACAAATACCTTCTGCTGCATTTTGCTCCGCGAGTTGGGTAGGAAAAGAGCGGAAGTCGCGTTGACAGTTAGGGTGACCGCATTTCGGCATTCGCGCAGCTGTCAGTGGGAAAAATACCAGAAAGCAGCATCTGCCTGACAGTGCTGCAAAACGAAGTGCTATCGGATAAGTCGTTTTAAAATTAAAGTGATATTATTAGTTTGTTATTCACTTTTATTGTCATAAGTTAAGCAAATTATAAAAATAAAAATGTTAGGAACTTTAAATTTCTATTAAGTAATTGTATACGTATTGTAGAAGTGCGAGATAGTAGTTCTAATCGACGAATTTTTATAACTCTATCAGCAAGCGTTTGCTTAAACTCCAAAAAAAACTCGCGACCATGATCTGTGTGTGTTGCGACATTCGATCTCATAATTTTAGTAATTTGTGTAGGGAATGCGAATACATTTTCTAAATCTACGCTACGAAATACCGCGATGCAGTATTTTTTGTGTTAAGCTATCGATTTACTACCATCTCTAACATAAAGACAATGAAAAAAAGAATCATTTTTGTGAATTAGTGTCAGTAAATATCAAGAAAAGTGCTCAAAGTGCCTAATTCCGCGAGTCAAAAATGGTTGTTTGCACAGCCACGATGCCCCCGGAAACACGACAAGTGCCTGCGGTGAAGAAAGAGCACACGGAACTGCTGGAAAACCCCGCGAACTCTGAACCAGGTGACCCTGGTGAAAAAGAAGAGGGAGTCGTCGAGGAGCATTGCGAAGAGGGCGAGATTGTAGACGAATTCGAACTGATCCTCTCGTCCGAGGATGAGGAGTTCAAGTTGCGTGCTCGGATTCAACAGCTGGAGGAGAACAACAAGGATGTGGAGCGCATGGACATGCTATCCGCCAATTTGGCACATCAATACAGTAAGCAGCACGTTGGGTTCTGCGCATTTAGATAAGGGGGATTCACTATCGGGTTGGTTGAACTTATTTATATTGCCGTTGCAGATTACCCAAAGCCTGGATCGCGTTTGCAGTCTCAGCAACAAAAGTCGCCCGTTTACATCCTGTCGGATGTGTCGAGCCAGTCAGACTATGAGTTCGAGGTCCAGCGAAAGTATCGCAAGCGCAAGGTGCGCCGCCTCGAGCTGGGCAAAAGGCATAATCAGTCGTTGTCCAGTGACTATCGGCGGAATCCCTTTGCCAGGCGCCACAAGCACTGTTCGCCACCTCCTCCGGTCACCACAAAGCGCCGGCGGCAGGACTATCACCATCATCAGCCGCCCAATCACCCCCATCGTCGCCATCAGCAACACCATGAGCTCGAAGATTCACTGGACAGCGACGGCGAGCTGGGCGAGTACGACATAAACGGTGACAACGAGGACGACGAGATAGACCTGCAACAGCTTAGACTAAGCAGGGATAAGTTGCGCGTTGCCTTGGCGCGGGAGGAGCGAGAGGAATTTGTTAGTCATTACAAAAACAGCCTGAGAGAGAAACTTCAGTACCTCGTGTCCAAGTCGCCTAGTCCAAAGCACCGCGAGGAGTACCAGCAAGAAGAGGAACTGCCACTTCCGCCACTGCAGCCATTATCGGAAGACGGCGATGCCATTATCGGCGAGGAGGAACCTCAGGAACAGGGGGTGCCGCAAAGCGATGATTCTGCCGAGCTTAAGCTTCGACTTATAGCCCTTAAATCTGTCATACTGAAAAAGCATTTAGCGCGAAAGAAGCGAGACGCGGAGCGGGCTTACTCACCCACTGATATGATCAATCGTGTGCATCCCGCTATTTCCAATGACGACGACATCGATGACTTAATGGAGATCAGCCCAGCAGCATCGCCAGATCGAGTACAGAGCCCGCCAAGATACCTAATAGATTATGCTGTGGACACGCAGCCTGTGGACATGGAATTAGCCGAAACGGACAGCGATGATCAGCAAAACGAAGTCTGGAAATCGTGGTCCAACAACTGGAACTCCATTGATAACGCTGGCGGCAGTTGGCGTTGTTTCTTGCCCAACAACTTGCCGCCTGTTTCGGTGCCCATTGTGATAGACGAAGACGATGAGGTAGATATAAATACGAGTGATCGGATAAGAAGAGAGAATATAGGTTACGATGACGATGAAGTTCCGCCGCCACCGCCGCCCTTTCACATTCCACTAATGCATCTGGAGGATGAGGATGCCCGGGATGCCATGCACCTAGTCGAACAGCATTCCAATCATAGCTACAACTCGGAGTTGCAGACAGTTTCCATGGAGAACTCGCAGGCGCATATAAAGACATTTGACCAATCTCAGCCAAATTCGAGTGACGACGAGGCTGGAGCCTTGCGAGCTATTTTGCTATCCAATTTACGGGCAAATAGACCCCCACCACCACCTCCAGGAACCCCACATCCTTTTGATACTGATCTTAATTCTGCTCCGGTCGACGTTCCAAAACCTATTTCAGTCAATGTGCTCGCTCCCGTACCTGCTCCTGTGCCCGCTTCAGTGCCTTCTTTTGTACCTAGTGCCGTGGCTCACATTAAGGACGATTCAAGGCAAAACAATGACTCAGATGATCCAGAAGAACTGCGCCTATTGCTCCTTTCCAGCATAGGAAGCAAAAAGCGATCAAAACCAAAGTCCGGTTTAAGTCCAGAGATACTCAAGAATGCTGTGAAACGCTTCCAACCCTCGGAATTGCCAATAAAAGATGAACAGTCTCAGGACCAACAGTCAGTTCTGGTAGAGATAAATGTACCAGAAGAAGGAAAGGAGATACAAAATAAAGCTGTAGTTGAGCCGATTCCATTGGAAACTGCACCCATTTCCGTGGAGCCCTTGGATGCTCCACAGCCAGTGGCCAAGCTTAAAATGCAGGCACAGAAGCCAACGTCACCCACATCAAAAATCATCAAAATTGTAAAGCCCAACAAGGTGATAAACAAAACGACAACGACCAAGCGGAAATTGCTCGGAAATAAAGGTTCAGGGTTGAGCATAAAGCGGCCAACAGCCTTAATGATTAAGGAGCCCAGCGCTCCACTGCGTGGTCAGGAAGTGATCGCATCCAGCACTCGCCTGATCACCACTGTAGACCCAGCCAGCATCAAAGTAAATAAGCTGATTATCAGTTTAGCAGAGGAGTCGCCCGCCAGTGATGATGACCTGGAGCTGAGTTCGAGCTTCGCTTATGTAAACACAGACATTGCCAGCCCCCTGAGTTTGGCAATGGGCAGCTTAAGCGGCTCCACCACCAGATCAAATACTCCCATATCCGAGATTGCCGAAACGGCTCCCAATGCCACAAACAATCTCAGACGAACTGTGATTAATGAATACTTTGAGAAGAAAATCGACGATTTTCTGAAGCAGGCTAGATCCAAAGCTCCCACAACTAACTCACCAGAGGCAGCTTCCGAAAAGACTACTGTGAAACCCCAGGTTGAGGAAACCCCTCCAACAAGTGTTACTTCTCCTAAGACACAGCCGCCACCCAAGACGACGCCGGTGGTGTGTTTAAAAATTCGAATTAAATCATATTGATATTTTATATAATTTTCATATCTTTCTCAGGCTGTTCGTCATTTACCGGTGGCGTCGCAGAAGGAATACCTACGTTTGGTCGAGCGTATGCAAATGCTGGAGCAAAAAAAGGTTCGGGCAGCCAAGGCAGCTGCTACTGTGGCCAAAAGCAAGGCGCCTACTGTTGATAAACCATCGTCGAAAAACAAATCAACGCCAAGCACTAATGCGAATATTGTAACATACCCAGCCAAGGAACTCATACCAAGTAAAACAAGTTCCACCATGACCAACGCAAAAGCTACCTCAGCAGTTCAGAAACCCCAAGTCAAAACTGCGGATTTAAAATCACCAAAAACAAAAGCTAAGCAAAATCAGATGTCCAAGGAGAGTCGCCTGAAGGCCTTTGAGAATTCGTTTGTTAAGATTGGGTAGATATTTCCGTAAATAGAGCTTATAGTTATTATTCTCTGATTATGATTATTTTCAGGGGAAGCATGCTAGCCAATCTAGACAAATCGCTGCAATTCGTGGAAGAAGCCAAGAAGTCAAAGGCAATTCGTTTGCGATGCTCACAGCGTCTCAAGGAACTGTATGCCGAAATGCAGACCGTAAGGCAGGCGGTAAAACAGGAGGAACTTAAGCTAGCGAAGATTCAGCCCGAGATTCAGGCCACCCATGAGATCATCATATCACTGAAGCAGAAACGACATAAACTCCATGCGGCGGCTATGGACTTGGGCCGTGGATTAAGGGGCGATGACTACAGGTACTACCATCATCAACCACAACAGCAAACAGAACGGCGTGGGAAATCTGGAACAAAACGATTACAGAAACCAAATCAACGACTAGGGAATGGGTGGAGCTCTATGCTACTATAGATTTTCTATTCTTACAGGTTAATCGACGAGGGAAAGGCTGCCATCACCACTAAATCAACACAGCTCACCAAGGAGATACGCCTCTATAATTCTATAATACACTTTGCTGACCTTCAGAAACTGAATGATGCGGAGATTAGTAAACCAAACACTGTGATGCCAACGGAATCCAAAGCGGTTCAACAGGAGGAGTCTAGCAAAAGTGTTGAGTCGAATTCGCAGGAACCGGCAGCAGTACAAGCTACTCAACCTTTAACGGATCCTCAGATTAAAAATCAAAGTGAAGTGGAAACAGAACCTGCTATTGGAAAACAACCTGAAACGGGGACTGACCCTCCAGATGTGCGTGGATTTCGATTTGTACAAATTGCTTCAAACTCTATAGCTAAGAACCTCATTCTCATGCCTCAGGCGACTTTCCGCTGTTATTCTTCGGTGTATTATTACACTGTTATTCCGATCTTTTTGCCACAAACCCGCATTAACAATACGGTTGAGTTTATTTTCAGGATCAGGCGCAGGAAAAATCTGTGGAAGTTGCCGTAAATACTACAGCACCCTACACGTTTAGCATAATGCGGGAACTGCGCGAGGAGAAGTCCGATGAGCATCACAGGGAACTCTATCTAAGTGCCTATCAAACGCCCATGTGCAGGAACTACAATAGGTGAGTATTATTAAAGTAAACAGTCGCCCGGCGAAATTTATTCGCTTTGTTTTCTCTTTTGTAAGCCACCTCGATGTCCACGCCACAATCTGCCCGTTTGATCTGATGGGTCGCTGTGAGGATGCGGACTGCTCCTACCTGCATTTAGCCCGCTCCGACTGCCAAAACGAGCTGCCAAAGACAAACCCTCTCTCAATAACTAACAAATAAAAAACTCACTAAAACACTAAAAGCATACATAACCCGAAAAAAATGTAAAAGCGTGCTTGAATTCTGGTAAGTTGGACTCTTCACGCGACCTAATATTTAAATGTTGCTTTCAGTCAACGTTAAAAAGAAAGAAACCCACAACTCACATGCCAAGCAGAGGAATAGAAGCATCCGCCGGCGTAGCGAGTGCTAAACCATAAAAACCGAAAAATAACAATAAAAAAACAATCGTTACTAGGTTGTACCTTGTTTGTTATATACATTTATATATATCGTGTAGTGCAAGTTTCACGTCTCCGTCGCTCGAGGACGAGTTTTCGGGCTAAAGTTTGAACGGATGTGCATCCTTAGTTTCGCTCATAGTTTTTTACCTAATCATTTTAAATATTTTTCAACAAAGTCGCCATAAATGAATGCTCGATGGCAGCAATTATATAAGCTTAAATAGTTAATTTCAATGCGCGATGATTATAATTTATAAATTCGTTTGCCAATTACATACATTTTCATGTCGCAGAAAATACCAAATTTATTTTTTATTTCGCAATCACTTTTTGATATCCAATTAAAGAAGTTTAATTATTATAAAGTTTTCTAAAAATGCAAAAAATGAATTTACAAAACAAATTCGGCAAAAAAAATGAAGAGAAATAAATAAAAAAAACGTACAAAATGAAATGAGGCGTCTTTCAGTGGGAAAGGGTAAAGACCGCAAATACGCTAATTTAGCCTTGTTTATTCCTAAATATAATTTAAATAAATACAGTGGGTTTATCACAGCCAATCCATGCAGGAGCGCGAGCCAATTTACACAGTTTCCATCGCCTCCTGGCCCCCATCCCGGATCTACTCGTTGCCGAAGTACACGTACTCCCTGCACCAGACCTTGATGCCATCTTCGTTGCCGCAGCACATGGGATAGACGAACTCCGACTTGGTCACCTTGGCGCACCGCATGCACAGCTCCATCGTATTGGAGTCCTTCTCGCACTGTTGCACTTTCAGCACCGTTTCCACCGACAGATTGCCGTGGTATTCGCTGGGATCCACGTTGACCTCACCCGTGGAGGGTCGGGCATCGGCACTGAGTACGAGTAGAGTCAGCACCAATATGTTGCTGAACATCTGTAATCAGTCGAAAGTTGAACAATTCGTTAATTGAATTTTCGGCTGTGGCACAATTGAGCGGCGAGGAGCATTAGAGCCGCTTCTATCTGGTTTTCAGCCAGATAAATAAAATAAAATCTCAGCCAGATTAAACGAGTTCGATGGAGTTTAAATCTCGATCGTCTTTCAACAATAGGACTATATGTATGTTTATGGCATTTTGAATTCAATAGAAAAATCTCTTTCACTTCTCCAGATTAATTCCATTTATTAGTTCAATTCACTTGGAGTGTTTTTCATGTGGCACCTGTCCAATAAATCATTTTCAAGTGTAATTGCTTTATATGCAATGCACATTTCGATGGATGATTACCACTTAACATTATCTTCGGGAGTTTTACTAGACTTTGGAATCGAGCAATCGAATTCAGGGACAAATGGTAATGTTGGTGCTTACATTCTTAGCCATTTCGTTGCTAAGCTAACACTGTATCCACACCACGGCCAATTCGCTAAGTACCCGACGTGATATTTCCTTCGGACGATCTGATCGCAACTGGAAGCCAGCGGTGCTCGAGCATTACTTTTTATACTAGGGCCACGCTTGCGAACAGATCGCGCTGAGATCGTCCAGCATTCGTGACACATAATTCCTGATAGGCCAGTATCAGGTAGTACTCGTACCTACTATCTCGGCGAACGTGCCATTTCGATGGCAAGGAGTTGGCTTTTCCCCCAAATTTACAGTCGCACATTCTTGGGCATCGCAAAATTAGTGAGCAGCCACTTCACGCATGAGTTTGCCATTATGTTAAGTCGGTGCGTAAATTTGTGGGCGATTGGGACTCGACACTATCTCTTGTCCAGTGGGATGGTACAATTTGAATGTGTGGAGATTCTAGCGATTGAATAAACTATAGCCAAATTGTGGCTATATTTTTTAAAAACACTTTTGTAAAGCAATACAATTTACGCAGCGTATCTTTTTCTGAGTATCATTTTTGTTAACATTACTCATACGTACCGTTGCCAGTCCTATATAACTCAAACATAATTTAAAGACCAAAAATTATATTTTTTCATATAAATGCGAGTATATGTATACCTATGGATTTGATATTGTTTTAGTCGTTATTATTAATCATCAATGTAGAAGTGCAAAATGCAAGTGGTGAACTGACTAACGCACCTATTAGGCGCGTTGCATTGCAATCCAACGCAACGCATTTCATTCCTATAGCGATCGAATTAGTATATGTACGTGTGACCGCATAGTGCACATAAATGTTGCGTATAGACAGTCGATTAGTGAAACATCATGTTGCTGATAAGGGGATTTCATGGGCGCCTAACTGATTAAAGCTGATCACTGTGATCCCAATCGCGCTTGCAATTTTTTTTTATTTTATTGTGCAATGTCTCGGACAGTTTACTTCCGGCAATACTGCGTGTTCTCTGGAAGCGAAATCTTAGAGGTGCTTTCATCACACTTCTTCATACGCATTGCCGGATGACCTCACCCACTATCTATAGAGCCTTTTAAGACCTATGTGATTGAGTGCAATCATTCCCTCTGCGCAAAACTAATAAGCGACTCGTCGCAAACTGAAATTGCAGTTCGAATTCGCGGAATTGGCATGGGTTATTCCCCGAAATATGAACATGTAAACTGTAAAGGCGTGTACTTTTAATTAGTTTATTTTTCCACATTGTAAGTGGGAACATTTTACTGCCGAAGGTCATGGATGCTAAAAACTAATCATTGGGGGTAGGGGGCTTTTAATTAGGGGTAGTGTTTTTACATAAATGAACAATAACTTACGTGTGTAAAGCGGAATGCAAAGGGGGTTCCGAATCTTCCATATCTGCCTAGAAGTTTAATAAGTCGCACCCTTTAAACCAACGAAACCCTGATCCCATCCGATAACCCTTTATTGAGTGTAAGCGAAATCAATTTCCTCAAACTAATCTGCCCTGTAATCCATTCACAAATAATCAAGTACGTAAGTAAACTAATGAAGGGGAATTTTGGAACGAGCAAGTTGTAATAGGATTACATGTTGTGTAGTCTAAGGGGGAATTCAGAATCTATGTATCTGGCTGTGGAAAATGATTAACCTTAGTCCGGGGAAAAGTTTCTCGGCTGTAAGGCGATTAACCGATTGATGGGTCCATCTTGATTTGTATATATTTGAAGACCTAGTTTGAAGTGTACTAAGCAAACAAACAATGCGGCGCTGATTAGGCTAATCGCATCATCGGAATCGTTATAGATTCAACTACTCGAATTGCACCAAAGCTCTTTCTCGTATATTTTTAGCAAACTAAACCTTTGTTTAGTTCAGATTGGTGGTGTATTGAACTGATTTTTAAATATCCAGGGCAATGTCATTGAATATAGAACCAATAATAAACAATGATTCCTCCTGGGCTCGGCAATGAACTTTGGAGCTAAAGATTAACGCAATCAGACGAAATTCCTCTTGATTTCTTTCGGTTTTGAGTTAATTAGTCCCATCGAGTGGTTCCCTGTCCATATAGTATTTCGCCAGACAAGTGATTTCGGTAATCAGATCGACACGGATCTGGGTACATAAAGCGTGACAATTACTGAGCGAATTTGTACGAAATCATGCTAAAGATTTACTACTGGTGAGTGGTTATTGATCGGAGACCCTGTTGCCAAGTGGATCTCCCTTACACACGGAAATTGTCTCTTCTGTATTTATAGTGTGGGTGCCATGCAGATTGCCGATCGCCAGCTATAAATACGAATACAGAATGTTTACAATACGGTGGCCGAGACTTCTTATCAGAGGGAGGTCACCCACCGCCATTGCTTGTTTGTCTCCGGCTCGGTCCTAGATGAGTAATGTCATCAGCCGAATTATGTGGCCCCCACCTTGCCCGACCCCATAAATAATGGCCAACTTTCCACCCACACTGTCTGCGAATGACTTCGGCATGTCCAAAGTCCATCGCCATAATCTCTACTGCGTTTTATGATCCATTTGGCATGAGGCTGGAGTGTGCCAACGATCGAAGGATATAAATCGAGTGATTAATAATTGATTATCGTTCACGAACGCCGGCTAAGTTTATTGCTCCACTTTCGATTTTCCTGAAATATCTTTCGATTTCACACTGCCACGAAGCATCTAGGCTAGCTCAAAAGATTTTTGGCAACATTTCTCAAAAAGGATTTAAAAGATTTCTCATCATATCGCAAACAAAACGTGATTGCATACATGTTTAAATATAGTTCGAATTTTCTACACCTTTTCAAATGTTAGTATCAATTTTATATATGAATATATTTCCTCATTTCGATGGGTGTTATTTTACTTTTACATTATGTGTACGTAACAGATTTTGATTTTACATTGTATTTTACACAAAATGAAGAGCTTTTGCTTGAAATATCTTTTCGGTTATGGAATAAAATAAATGACTTTTAAGCTTTTCTGTCAAGTAACTAACTAAGTAAATAATTATTCAGAGGCATTGAAAAAATATTAAACAAATACCTTTAAAAATGAAATACATTTCAACGTTAAGCAAGATTACAATTTCCTTAAAAAAGCACATATACCATAAATAAACAGTTCGATATGTTTTTACTTCTAAAGGATTAAACATTATTATATTTGGATTCAAAACATGTGCCACATTTTGCGCATATTTAAGCTGCACAGAAATAATCCAACTTGAATGGACACATGCAGCTAAATAAACTGTTTATCCACTGATTACCCGAATGTTTGCCTGACAACTAATTAAATTGGCTGCCGGAGTGCAGTCGACAATTTTGCTATTGCGAACGGCGGCCATCCCAGGAGACGCCAGATTTGCATAGTTTATGCCAGAAGTTGTACAAATGCCATTCCGATGTTGGGGTCTGCCCAACCAGGCCCCATTACACCCCATTCAATCATTGTCCGTTGTCAATTGCCAATGGCCATTGCAGTGATATTGATTTTCTGTACCGAAACCCCTGTTGGGAGCGCATTACGAGTGCACACTATTTATTGCATAGTAGGCTATAGCCAAGGTCAGTTCTAGACCGCGCCAACCCCATTATTGGGGGATTTGGGGGAAACGTGACCCGGCTCCATTCAGTGTCACCTGGTTCACCTTTGCCGCCTTTGTCACCTTTGTCACCTGACCTACAAAACCTACCCCAAACATAATGGGGGTAAATATCACGTCGCTGTTTGTGCTGACTTATGCAAGTCACTTTACATTTGGAAGCTGATGACTTCCCCATAGAATTTCTTAGTCGTCCTTAAATTGCTAATAAACCAAATAACGCTGTTAACCAATCAATTGCTTAGCATCTTAGTATTTATATCTTTGTTTTATAAGTAGATCGAAAGCTTCCAGTTGCATGACATACATCACGTAAGCAA